GGTAGCTTTTCTCTGGCATTGGTGGGCTTCCTTTTGGTAACAGTGGCAGAAAGAATTGGGCGTCTCTTTGGTCGCTTATCCTGGTTCTTAAGGGAAACATCTCTAAACTCAGAAACATTGGGATGTTTTGTAAAATTGTGATTATGGGACTTTACTTCTACAAGGTTTTGTTTTTTGAAACTAACCTTGGGAGTTTCTGAATGCAGACACTCGAGGCTGTATGCTAAGCCTTCATTTGTTCTCCGGTCCTGGGAAGTTTTATTTGATAATGCTGATAAGTTACATGTTTGCTGACCTGTGTGTACCATGTTATCCTTTACAAACTGTGTCGGAGATAAAATGGGATTGACTGAGTCTGATTTGAGAGCTTTTGGAAGTCCGTAATTGTCATTTAAAAAAGACTCTGGGCTTAAGATTGTGTGGTAAACTTCACGTACAGCTTGGGATTCCAAGCACAGAGACTCTGAGCTTTCTTTCCGAAATGTTTCTGATAACACATTTCTCATTGACCCTAGGCCGTGATTACATTCATAGCTGTTGTTTACAAAAGAATCTGGACTTAGAAAATGGATTTGGCTTTGTGTATTATTCAAAGGTGAAGAACAGCTTGGGGCAGGAGGCAGTTTACTATTCCCTTCACTTTGGTCACTAATACTAGTGGGATTAAGTAAAGTGTCATTTGTGACTTCTTCGTTAAAATTAAAAGTGTTTGAACTTTTAATATCTTCTACTTTTAAATGTGCAGTTTTGGATCCGTGGAGAGATGAATAGGCAGTAGACCTGCGGGGAAACACTGGCAAGCAAGTGTCTTTCTGGCTTTCCTTAACAGGGCTAGTAGATGAGTCGGGTATTTTGTTTTCTTCAAGGGATAAAGAATTGTTTTCTGTTGGAGAACAGCACTCACTCATAGCCAGATTTTCACAGGCCTGCAGTGGGTTCCTAATTCTGTCATCTTTTTGGGAAATATTAAATCCTTCATTAAATTGTTGGCTTTTGGAAGTCCCTCTGTTAAGTTTTGAATAGGCTGGAATCTTCTTATTGGTATTCCAAAGACTTCTCTGTAAAAATAAATAAAAAACACTAAACAAGCTGGAAGCTGTTCTCCACCACTTTTAAACAAGCAATGTTGTACATGTCGCTTCCCGCCTTCCCTCAAAACCATCCATCCTTCCAGTAAATGACAGAGTGAGTAAGACACTACCTTTTTCTTCCTATGCTCTTCCGCATTTCCTAGTAATATAGCCTGGTGCTTCAGGAAGTCATTTACAAGAAATGTCACAATCTCCCTTACTCGTCCTTCTTTCACTGGTGTCCAGATAACAGAAACAGTAATTTTTTCTTTAGGCTGAAAGAATACATTTTTAAATGATTATATTATAAATATATAATAATCAAGTGCACTAGATATAACTTAGATTAATAACTGCTAGTTACCACACCCTAATAGGGTTAAATATTTTTTTCCTATACTTGCTCATTGTAAGAAAAAAAGCCACTAGCAATAAAAGTCCACAACAAAAAGTATAATGAAAACTATAAAGTTATAATAAAAGCTAATTGTACAAAAGTAAAAGAACTAACAATCTACAAGTCATTTTAATTGAGCTGTTTTAAAAACACAGTTGTGGGGACTAGGAACCCAGCTCACTGATAAAGTGTGTGCTTAGACCAACTTAAGTTGCCAGGCATGGTGGCAGGAACCTTAAGTGCAAAAGATCAGCTTTTCTAGAAAAGTAGAAACCATAGGTTTGGTTTTTAACCAGCTAATTAAAAACAAATAAGAACAACCAGGAACTTTACTTCTATTTTAAACAAAATAGAGAAAGTACAAGAATTCGAGAAAGAAGAGTCTTTCTATAGACAGAAATCCAGGCAGCTGTCCATCAAAGGGAGCAGTCATGGTTTATGAAGAGCAAGTGCAGGAACTCCTGATGATGCAGCCCACTGACCTCAGTTTAGCCTTCCCTGAAGGCTTTCCTTACAGTTACTGGGCAGTTTGTGCAGACCTCCTCAGCTAATTGTTTTCACAGCTTTTGAAGTTATACTCCATGAAAAGGACAGTAATCGAATGAAACGCTTTTTAACTCTACATTGGCAGCAAATTAAAAAAAAAAAAGTAAAATACAAAGGTATGCCCACACATCACATATACACACTGAGAATAATCCTAAGTAAGGATGCTTTTAGGGTTTTGTTTGGCTGTTTAAGCAAAACAGTTCATTATCGAAACAGAAGTGAAGTCCCACCCAATATAAACATACATATGAAAAATAAAATGCATATTAAAATGGCTAAAAGGAAGGAATTAGAAAACGTTCATGGGTGAACAACTCCAATCTCAAAACACAGAATGCTAACCTCAAACATATTTTGCAATGACTGCCAAGTCTATTAAAAAGGTGTAACAGAAAAAAACAAAAACAAAAAACAACCAAGCAAACAAACAAACAACAACAAAAAAAAAGTGTAAAAGAAACTTTCTGAAATGCTTCTAAGGATAGTATACGCGCTTTGATTCATCATCCCGAGCAAATTACTGCCCACTTTTGCCATGTATTCACACAAATTATACAGTGCCAAAGCCCGTCCACAGTCAAGAGACGAGATGACTTGGTGTTGGGGTCCTGTTCTATGCCAGCCCTACCCTGCAAATGAAAGAGTCCCAGAACCAAAACAGGAAGTTGACCTAGTGTCGGATTCCCAGCCCCATATCTGCAGAAGCCCCCACCGTCAAGACTGGGTGGGAGCTGACTTAGTTTTTCTCCGAGTTTCTCGCTGAACGCCAAGGAGGCCACGCCCCGCGGACATGCCCTCACACCCACCTTCAGCTCACAGCGGCTCGGCACCACGCTGAAGCCCTGGTCTGCGGCCCGCTGCAGGGACAGCTCCACCTGCAGAGGCTCCTCGTGCGGGTTTTGCAGAATCAGAGACCGTGTCCGTGTCGCGCCCACGCGGACGTCCCCAAAGCAGAGGAAAGGAGAGGGGCAGAAGTGGCTGAGCAACAGCACCGGCGGGGACGAATCCCCGGCCGCCGGGTCCCGGTGCACGCGCCGCCCGCTCTCCTCCAGGTGGTAAGCGGCCTGCCGCGTAGCCATGGCAGCCGCCCCGCTCTGGGCGGTCTGGTACCCGCTGTCCGCGTCCCTCCGCCTTCCCAGAATCTGGAGATCAGGACAAAGATCAGAAAGCCGGAGACTACCAAACCCCGACGAAAGTAGACTAGCCGCTTTTGCTTCGGTTCAAATATCTGGCCTCCACCAATGGCAGCTGCGAGAACCGCCTTGCTAGCGCACCAATCAGCGAGTAGATTACCGCCCACAGCTACTAAAGAGCCAATGACTGAACGAACGCTCCTGGCCAATAGGACCGCGGCGCTTTGTTTAAATGCTGGTTTGGCTGTCACGGCTGCCTGGAGAGGAGATGAAAAGGCAACAAAATTCCATGGATTGGCTCAGAAATGAAATTGCCTCTGTTGTTTTAAATATGCTACGAGGGCGGAAAAGAATCATCACTGTGTCCAACCCACGGCTGCATATGCTCCAGAATCGCTGAGTGCAACTTGTGAGCAAAGGTTCCCGGGAAGAAAAGGCACCTTCAACGCTTACTGAGCAAGGCTGAGAAACTGATTAGAAAGTTAGAGATTGTGGTGAGGTTAGAAATTGGAGGTCAAATCTAACAGTTATTGGGGAACATCGTTCGCCCTCAATAGCCATATCTTGTCATCCTTTTAAGTGGCCTATTAGCATTGTGACATGTGTAAATTAACTGTAATGTAAAGAGTACTGGTTTTCCAAGTACTGCCAGCATCTGGGGCTATAAAGGGTTTCTCTTTTGCCTGGACATTCAATGCTTCCATCTATTATTTGAAAAGTGCCTTTCAATACTGTAAAAACTTAATCATAGTTTTACCACGTTGGAACATGAAATTTGGGATAACCTAAATCCGTGTCCCTAGGCCATCTTCACTCACATTTGACTTCTGAATAAACTCTGATAAAACGGGACCAAAAGGAGACACTTTTGAGGTGAGAGTTTTGTCTCAGGGCAGTTATTATGCATTTTGCTTTCTTATAACTTGTATGATTTACCAGCATTTTGCCACTATGTCATTAAGTTTGACACTCTTGTGTGCCACACATAACCAGACACACTGTTAAGTGAGCTGAGAAATTTTATATAAACCATGACCTTTTGTTTTGTTTTATTTTTTTGGTTTGTTTGTTTGTTTTGTTTTTCGAGACAGGTTTTCTCTGAAGCTTTGGGGCCTGTCCTGAAGCTAGCTAGCTCTTGTAGACCAGGCTGGCCTCGAACTCACCTGCCTCTGCCTCCTGAGTACTGAGATTAAAGGCATGCACCACCACTGCCCGGCTAAACCATGACTTCTTATATGATAGGCCTGCCCAGAATTAATCTGATTTACTCTGTAAGTTTACTGGGCTGAACAGAGATGTAAAGAAAACTGTTAGCATGTTGTTGGGCTGTTTTGTTTTTTAGGACTTGGTCCATAGCCATGATCAAATAACAACCTATTGAGGGCTGGAATAGAAATGGAGATGAGTCTGTAAGGTTCTGGTAGTAGCCTGTACAGGTATACAGGTATTTAAAAAAAAAACAAAAACAAAAAAAAAAACCCGAATTATTGCAGGAATGAGCAGGAGAGAGGTTAAAAGTGTCCATTCTTAGTTTTATATAGGGTATCTTATTTCACTAATAGAGTTTTGCTACACTTCAGACTTATCTAAAAGCAACATGACTGCTTCAAACAAAATAGTCACCACTGTTACTTGAATTTATATAAAACACAAGATCTATTACTACATTTAGTAATATACATAAATATATAAATAATGTTTTAAATGCTATGTAATTTATTAGAATTATAGGTTTCAAAAATGTCCCCAAGATACTTGGTGTTCAACTTGCTCAGGGTTTTTGTTTCATAGAGGAATGCAGACACTGTTCCTATACTCTGAAAACGTTATTTGAAAAGAACCTGGATATGCTTTACTAGGGCCAAAGAACTTTGTTTATTTTAAATATCAAAATAACACAACGAATGAATTCAATATGCAAGATGACAACTACTACTCACAAGGAACTGAATTTTTGCTACAAAGACATTTATACTTAAGAAACACGAGACAAAGTAGCTACTAAACTCAACATTTAACATACAATGGGAAATAATCAACTTTGATTTTAGATTTTCCTTTGTAATTACTTTAAAAAACTGTCCTTAATTAAAAAACAAAAATAATGATTTGAAACAGAAAACAAAACCATTTCCATTTTAACATACATCATCCCTCCCTTAAACAGAACAGTTTTGACACAACATGGAGCAACTAAACACCCAGTTTGTGTAATGTTTGGCAATCACTGTCATCAACTGTAATAGAGCTTTACTTACAAGAAGAAAAGTCTGATTGTTGAGTAAAGGAATTCTATCATTACAGCACAGGACATTATTCAACTTTCCGCAAGCAGGAATATCAAACAGAGAGGCATAGTGACAGTGAGATGTGCACATGCTCTGCATCTAAGGGACAGTTCAGAATCTCCAGCAGTAGCACAGCTATTGGAATTACTTAGCTTTACTTAAGAATTTGAAACATTTTCATAAAGGTTTTCATCTTTGAATAACATCTATTCTCCAAATAACATCCTCAAATTCTCTCTAAATAAATGGCTGCAGAGACTAACTGGTTCTGGATCTTTCAAAGGACATAGACTTTAGATAAATATACAGCAAGTTAAAACATGAATAAGCAAAACATAAACACACCCTACCAAATCATTCCTTCTCATCTTCCACACAAACTAATCCTATTGCTTTTATTATTAGTGATCTACTTCCTCAGAGGAAGAGCAGAAAGCATGCTGATACCAAAGGGGAAAGTATCATCAGCAGAAATTTTATAAACATGGGAGGATACCAAAAAAAGGAGCACACACAGGATACTGAAAGGAAATGTGCAAAAGAAATGAGTAGCATATACAGAACTGTCTAGTTCCTATATGCTGTGCAGAAAATAATCCTCATCCATTATTCATACTAATAGCAGGTAAGATTTAACATAATTCTACTTAAAGATTTAGAAACACTACTTACTCCTTACTAAATAATGCATTTTCAGTCTTTTTAAATTTGGCACTAAATCTTAAAATGTTCAAACATGACTCTGTTGAAAGGCCGTGCTTTTTCCTGAGTCATCAACTCAAGTCTGTTGACTGGGATCCTGCGGCTCCCTAGGAGCAGCTCTTCTCACACCCTCAATCGTGTGGAGTCCAGGAAGAGTGAGCTAAGTCTTCAGTGCAGAGCTATGTGCTCATGGGAACAAGTCACTTAAGAGAGCAATCAGAGATAGAGAGTGGCATGAGGGGCAGACATACTGTTCCTTCTGTCTGAGGAGTGACTCCAGTAACTAGAAAGGCCATAGCAGAAACTTTAAAATAAAAAAAATGTAAATTATAAAAACCAACGTTCACACTATCACTTAATGCCAATTTTTCTATGTTAACATAAAACAATGTAAAATAAAAGGCTGTTGCCCAGCCAGCAGGCAACACAAACGTAAGACTCAGAACCAAAAAAGTAAAACAAAACAAACAAGCTATTTATTTACCAGTACATTATAGGTAGTCAAAAAAAAAAAAACAAAAAAAAACAAAAAACACTAAACAACTACACATCTCTGAAAAAGTACAAAGTATTCAATCCAGAAAAGATGGTCAAAAAGAACACTCTAAAGAATAAATGCTCAAAATGTCTCCGGTCAATAATAAGTTAAAGTGATATGGTAGGAACAACAGTCAAGTTCTTAAATATACCAGGGTCAATGTGTTTAATTAGGCTGTGACTGAGTGAAAAGCAATGGATGGTATTTATTAGCCCTTAACACTTAGAGTCACTCTGTAAAGGTGTCTTTGACACTCTTTAAAGTTGAGAGAAATGAGTGTATTTCGTTTATGCTACCATCACTTAAAAGGCAGTCACTTTATTAAAGCACCAGTTTAAAATGCTATTTTATTCCTCTTTTCCCCAGAAGTAGAGATCTAAAGGTCTGCAAACTGTACTGTGTTTATAGTTGCTTGAAGGTATCTTGCTGGCATAAGGAACAAACCACCCTATGGTTAAGCGGTATTTTAGGCTGCCAAAACTAAAGGAGTTTCTTATAAAAATAACCTCAACTTTATCTTAAAAAAAAATCTAAGGCAGAAATTATTTTTATAACGTAGTGTAAAATAAGCTTATTATTCCATAGTGTTCATTAAAAAAACTGCACCCAACTAAACTGAGAGAAATGAGTAATCTAACTTGTAACTGGTTGGTCAGTGTGACTGTTCCCAGAGTAGTTTCCCTACTTACTTTATACGTATAAACACAAACATTTAATACTTAATCTCAGTATTCAAACTAACAATTTATCTTTTAATCTATTATCCAAGGACTTCAACTGTGCTTCTTTGGACAAAGATATAGTCAAACAACAAAGAATTTAAATTCTTTTAAACTATCCAATACCTACTCAAAATCTTTGGTGCATTAAGTCAGAGACAGTAAGTTAATAAATTTCTGTACTCAATAACTTATTCAATTTACAGATTAAGTGCTAACTGTTATCTATCAAAATTTAATTTAAAATAAATTATACTCACAAAATAAAATATTCACAATGAGGCTACCTTAGTTGTGAGATTCAGATTTTTAAGCTTAGTTACAAAATGATTTTACAGTCATAGAAAGGTAAACTAAGAATATGGGGCTCATCTTACAATTTTTGTGCCAACTTTGAAATTAACCAAATCCATGTTGTTACATTTTTGGAATCTGGAGAAAGCAAGGTAATTTCCCCATTATTGTGATTTTATTTAGTTCTTCCTAAGTATTAACTGCCTACCTCCAGACTACATTAAGAACAAGAGAAAGTAGTGCCTGGCACATAGTCTGCATTCATTAATGCTCTGTCTCCTCCTTCCATTAACTGCCATCTGCCACAAGAGTTAAAATGACTCCTTTCTCTCTAACATGGAAATACATCATTCCCTTTCTATTTCAGAACTGCTTACAAGGTTCAAATGAGAAAACGTGTGAAAATGTTCTAGATAATACAGTATTCCAGCTTATCTGCAGTAATAACTAACTACAATTATACAACTGTATTTCACTTTACATAAGAACTATATTCTTGAAAAGTCCTATGTAAACCAATTTCTAAAATTAAATCATATATTTAAAGTATTAGAGCATCATTATTAAAAGAACCTTAAATACCTTCAAAACCCAAGGCATTATTTTCACTGTGAAATGTTGTATCCTCCTTTTCTGCCAAAATATACACTATATCATGCACATAACACACATATATATATATCATTTGCCTTTTTTGATAAACCCAAATTTTTCTACATTAGCTTATCTCTAAGGCAAAGTATATTTATAGGTATGATCTTTTCATTTGAGTAAGATATTTAGTTAAAAATCTTTATCTCCTTTAGGATAAAAATCATAAATCCATATTCCTGACATTTGATTTGAAAGTCTAGGACTCATAGTGCCTCAGAGCCCAGGTCCATCATTAGTCCCCATAAACATTTCCACACTAATAAGAATGCTTTAACAATAAGAAATAATATAAAATTAAGTTTACCGGTTCAAATACAATTACAACCAAACTTTTATAAGTGAGGCAAAACTCGGGTCACCTTTATTATTTATATCAGCTACTTTGGTTAATGCCTCAATTTGCAACATGCTCCTTGAACATTAATATGGCAACTGTTCCTATAAAGTACCTTCATTTCTTAAGTGCTTAAACAATTTCCGCATTATTGATTATGTTTTATTCACTAAAGTTCATTACTTTATGCGTGATATGTTTTCAAAACCCACAAGGGCTAGGCAAGACTTAACAGTTTACACACAAAAAAGTGCTAAAAGCAATTAGGAGTGTAAACAAACTGAAATAGAAAAATTTAAAAGCTGCTAATTTCCCAGTAGTTTACATACAAATTGAATGTTATCAGCAAGCCAACCCTGCCTAGTCTAACCTTCAAGCAAGCTCGCCAGGAAAACCTCATCCTAGGTTAAGTGGAAACCAAGCTGAAAAAAAAGAAAAAAAAAAAGCAAAAGTGCACATTTTTATAATTCCGGCAGGCTTTTTCTTCAATTAAATTTAATTAGTGAGGTGTTTCTGTGATTGCTATCTCCTTTCACCAAACTGTCAATTACTGTCTCATCCAAACACAAGAATGAAAAAGAGACAGATCTCAGAAGGAAGCAAAATTAATGATCTGGCTTTAGTATATATAAATAGGAGTATACTTGGCTAAAAAACTAATTATGCTAAATTGAGCAAATTTGACAATGGGTTTGGCACCTTTTCTTACAATTATATGTGAAATGTCTAGGTTCCGTTTCCCTGTTTCAGCCAGCCAAATTTTGTAAATAAAACACTAAATACATGATTTAATTATACTTTCATTTAGTTACAGCTGTCCCTTCTTTACTCATCTAGATGCTGAAACATACTATGAATGTAGAATAAATAACCAAATATAAATGTCTTAAAGGTAGCTAGGTAAAACTGCCATATTTTCATTAAAATATATTTAGTTAGATAATTTAATGCCTAGATCTGTTGGTATTTATTGTTAATCATAGTTGAGTACAGATCCAATTATCTGGATTAAAATAATCTGATATTTAGCATCCTAATCTTATACTTTTAAGCTTTTAGCTTTCAGCTTGTGAAAACCCCAAATATGATGACAAAAGTAATGGATAGGTGACAGCATAGATGTATCAAGACTTTCTTACATAAATATGTAAGAAATTTCAAATCTCAATTTTGAAAATCTGAATGAAATGATATTTAATTAGTATTAAAAATTTGCCATGTTGACATATGCTTACATTCCTTTCTATAGGCTATATGGTTCTTAAAACTCCATAGCAATGTGGGTAAGAAAGAAAAGAAATGACTAAAAGTAAACTTTGGCTTGGGGCTCACACCTGGTTGGCTAAGGCAGAAAGATTGCCACAAATTGAGGCCACCCTGGGCTACAGTCTAAGACCCTGTCTCAAAAAAAAAGGGGAAAGAAATAGAAAAATTCCACTGATGATTTAAAAAAATACCTCCACCATTGTCAGCAGCTAATAATCTGAAATTTAAAAATCCATTCAAAATTAGTACTAAATAATCTTTTAAAAAATCATACTTCAAATATTATGTCAAAATGTGTCCAAGTATTCAGTCAATAGAAATAAATTTTTCTTGATTTGAAGCTGTTCTGAAGACTTGAGAAATTAGGGGGGAAAATGAAAAAAAAAAATAGCAGCCCTACTAATTGAAAAGCCAGTAAGTAGCTTCTGGCTGTCAGCACATAGGCATCAAAAGGTCAATGGAATGTTTACTCATGAGCGATGCTCACTACTGGACATATTCTGGACAGTAGTTGTGCTATCAAGGCCCAATAATGTTCCAAGGTAAGATGGTTCTCTAGGATCTAGCATCTGGTCAGGTCGGACAGGGTGCACTATGTTTGCAGGCTGAGGAGTAAGAGTGTATTTTTCCAGAAAAGCTAGATCAGATGCCCGTGGATAATCAGTTGGCTGCGGCTGAGGTGGCAACATCTCATGAGATGGTGGAGGAAGTGTAGTGGTATGAGGCACCAGGTCGCTGGATGTGTCAGGCATTTGAACTGGAACCAACGTTACCGGAACACATACTTCCGCAGACACATTCTGCAGCATAGTCTTGGCTTCTGGCTGATAAACTTTGGGCTGGTCCAGATACTGTTTTGTTTCTGCTTGAAAGATCTTATCATCAGATGAGTACTCTATTGTTGGCAAAGACACAAGTTTCTCCTCAGAAGTACCGAGAGAATCCTCAGGAGACTTTATCCCATGAACATGGTCAATGTGGTATTTCAGCTTGTCTTTCCGCTTAAATGTTGCATTACAGTGTTGACAGTTGAAAGGTCGGGCATCAGAGTGAATAACCAGGTGTTTTGTTAAAGTTTTCTTAATTCTAAAAGACTGATTGCAAATTTGACACTTGTATGGTTTTTCACCTGTATGAACAAAAATAAAATTAATGTATAATGTACCCTTTGATAAGATGGTAATTTAAATAGCAAATTTATCACATGCATACCTGTAAAAAACAGTAGTATTTTATGCTATCATAAATGAAGACAGCCTATCAAGTGAATAAAGATAATGAATTAAACATCAAATGATCTGGGCTTAAGTCCTGGGTAAATCATTTAGTAGCCAAACTTTTAAGCCCGGTTCCCTGTAATGTAGAACAACAAAAAGTACCTATTCTCAGCATGTTGTTACTACTAAAAATTAAAATAAAGGTTGGTTAAACTAAAAACATTTGATTTACTTCTATTTACAAATTATATAAAAACCAAATGAGCGACTCTAATTAACTTTTTTAGGGGGGTGGAGCTGAACAAAAAGTAGTAACATTGGTTTCTACCAAGAGATCAAAACTTTTAAATTTAATTGGGGAAAAGAATTAAGAATGCCAAATCAGTTCTTAGTTCTTCTGCAGTCAGGTTCTTACACTATAGTTTTATTTTGCTTTTTTATTTAAAAAAAAATTCCTATTAAAGCCAAAGTGCTAGGCAGAATAATAACCCTTCAAAGGTATGTGTGTTCTAATCCACAGAAGCTATGAAAATGTTATTTTACACAGAAAATAGGCTTTGCAGTGTGCTTAAAACTTTGAAATGAACAAAAATAAATTTTTTTCTAATCATAGACTGATTAGATTATCAAAGGGGCCAAGTAAGTACAGAAGTAAAAAGTGGTTGATAACTAATGAAGGGTAAGTCGGATATGACAGGACTCAACTCCAAATTGCTGACTTTGAAAATGGAAGGGAGCATGGGGCCAAAGAAGGTGAAAGCCACAAGTGATAACTGTGCTTACCAGGCAGAAGGTGGAGAGCAGGAGAAACACGGAAGGGGACAGCACATGCTAATAGTGTTTAAGCTTGTGCTGAGGATGCAGCAGTGACAGAGAACTTGCATCAAAAATATAAGGACCAGGATTCAGTTTCAAGAGCCCCCTCCACACCCCCAAAAGCCCTTATATATCCCATGTACTATTAAAATTTCAATAAAATTAAAATCTATACAAAACATGTAAGAAATAGAAGTACATTAAAAGGCACTTGAGCACCCTGAAAAGTTATGATCTTATCTATTTTTCCTAGAAAGCAGACATTAATCTAGGAAAAAAAATCCACCCACAAAACAAGAAAAAAAGGTACACTCACTCACCACAAAAATAAAAATGAAAAGAGGATAAACATAGTAAGATTACATTATATAAAATTCAAGCAGGAAAAATTAATTTCTGGTAATGTAAACCAAAATAGCCATGTCTTTCAAGGATGTTACATCTTAAGAGCAGTCATGAAGGATGCTTTTAACAGCCTACTACTATTCTATAATTTGATCTGAGTAGTGACAATATTGATGAATCTATCATAAAAACTGGACTTGGGACATGCCTGTCTTCATTTCCCTAGCACCACTGCCCCTGGTAAAATTATAAATGGGTGCCACAGCACCAGCTTTCATATACAGGTTCTAGGAATCAAAGGCAAGGACATAATCAACTAATTGATCTCCCCAACCAAGACAACAAAAACTTTTTGGTCATCAAAGGGGCACTGCTAGTCACTTCAATGAGGGTGGTTCAATATTCTTCACCATCCTCTAGTTAAACAAACCTATAAAATTACTATATAATTGGTAATTCCTCCCCCTCATAAATTTAAGAATTTATTTTCTGAATAAGGGATCTCTACCCAGTAAACATTAAGAGCTCATTTCTGGAATGTGTATGGATAAGCTGACACTTGGGATAATGTCTTCTCAATGATCATCATGTGATATGGGATTCCCCTCTACACAAAATATTAACTCTCATACACAGGTAACACGGGGTTGTGAATTTAGGAAACTATGTGATCAATTTTTGGAAGAATTATTTTTGTCAAGTACTGTCTGGGTCTCAGTAAGTCAAATCTAGAATGATGGCTGCTTTTATGGTTTTACTGAACACAGATGCAGCCACTTGTAATAATACCTACAGCTATTCTTGTGCTACAGCAACATAGGCCAAACAGTGACCAAATTATGACCAAAGCAGTCTGGAATATCTATTTACTATCTGGTTCTGTACTTATACCTGCTGGCTTTTGCTTTAGATTATTTCTTCCCCTTATATTCCACCAGGGCTACAACAGTTGTTTTACTTTACGGTAGGGTTTATTCCTCAATTTTCAAAGAATAAAAAGATATCTTAAATTCACACCATGTATAAAATAACTAGATATAATTCAGCTGCTATGGATTAAACTATCAATAAGCTCAATTTAATTTTCTGTGGGTTCACCATCTATTTCATGAGTTCTATATGCTTTTACTTATAATTGAGATAAGAAACAGCATTAACAAAGTTTCTTCAGTTTATACTCCTAAGTATGCACTCCTGAAACTTGTTCATTGGAAGTATATAATTTGCTTTTAGCAACATCACTGCGAAAGTAATAAACATTTACTGGAAACTATTTAATATTTAAAATTATCCAAATTAACTTACTTCCATTCTAACATTCATGAGATAATTTGTCTCTTTCAGAATAGCAGCTTAAAATATACAAAGTGAGTATAAAGCAAAGCAGTTTTAAGTACATAAACATATTTCTTGATCTAAGAAAAGAATAAACCTTCAATTTTTGTATACAAGGCAAAATGAACTCTATACTTCATTCTGTGTGGGATAGTGGAATGCATCAAAAGCAAAGAATACTACTAAAGCTGCCTGAGGGCCACAAGTAGCTCTCTAAGGAAAGAAACCTGTACATTACAACCGGATGTGAGTGAGTCATGAATGTATGCATAAACTTTTTCAAAAGAAAAAGATACCAGCAACAGAGGCCTAAGAATCCTGACAAAGCTCACACAGCAGAACCACAGGGCAGAGAAAGAGAGAAAAGAGCACTGAAGCTTGGGCTATTCACCACAGAAAATAATTTCCCAAATTCTTCACATTGAGAAGAAAGCAAAAATGCTGCTTATTCATGACATGAACTTTAATATAAAGATTGTATGTAAAAATTTAAGAATAACACATATGGACATGTTGTACTATTAAATAACTACACAAAGATCTGCATTGATTACCCTAAACTTTTACCTGAATGTGTTCGAAAATGCATTTCCAGACTCGATTTTCCTTTAAAAATCTTCTTACAAACATCACACTGATGAAATGTTGCTTTATATCTAAGAAAGTAAATGGTTCATCTATTTAATCAATAATAAAAAGTAACTGACAACTCTAAAACTATACAGACAAATGTCGCATCAATAAAGCACACAAGCCTGGAGAAATAGGGTTCTTTTAAATCCAGAGCTAGACTCAAGGGTCTTTCTCCATTTATATTTAACAGAACTTTTTAAAAGACACTTGTAGGAATAAAACTTCAAAATGTCTTAAATCAGCCCAACTTTTAATTAGTTATTAAATACACAAAGGACAGAACAGAGAAATGAATAAAAAATACATCACTACTGGGCAAAATGGGAAAGAGGTTTAGAGCATAGAATTTGTGGTAACAGAATATTCTACATTCTGGTGGCGATGATGATTACCAGACTGTAGGGAATACACACTAAAAGAGTTTCACCTTAAGTAAATTTAAGTCAGTTAACTGAAGAGATAGATACTGAGTCTGACTAAAAGAAACCGAAATAATCTCAAGAGCTGCATTTATTGAAGTTGACATGGCTCTCATTAGTTCAAGCCTAAAGAAATAAAATGTGAATCTTTTGTTTTTTTATTACACAGATATAAGTAATCTATAATTTGTCCAAAAGTTACATAGTTAGCAGCATAGTGGAATGTCTAACAAATACTGTTAAGGTCAAAATCAAATTTTAATTGTCAGCACTATGACATCTGTAGAATGAGTAGCATTTAAATGTAAGTCAATGCCCACCACTCCCTAGCCTTTGAGTCAAGTAGTAACAGTGATCGTGTGTGTGTGTGTGTGTGTGTGAGTGTGGTTTTTTTTGAGACTTTAGAGGAATACAGAAACCAAAGAGAGACAATTAACCTACTGCAAATTAAACAGAATAACCGAAAAGTGTGAGTTGTTCTCTACCCATGATGCTGTCAGCAGTAGTAAAGAGGAAAGCTGCATCCACTCACTTTTGCCACACCTTCTCCCCTAGATGCACACTCTTGTAGTGAACCGTGAGATGGTCCCTCCGACCAAAGCACTTCCCACACTCTTCACACTGATGAGCCTTCTCACCTGAGAACAAAGGCCCACATATTTATATTTCTTTTAACATAACAAGCATTTAAGTTTTCTCTTTTTTTCTCCAGAAATAATGACCAAACAGTAAGTTCTTTTAATGGGACACCAGGAAAGCAAAGCCACCCTCTAATCTGGGTTATTAACCTAATCTGGGTTATTTCCTTTATAATATTTATTCAATTATCTTTCCCAAAGAACTCAAGCCTAATTTAATGAGTGGATATTTTGCTCACATGGAAAAATTAGTAACCTTACATAGTAGACATCTAATCTTACCTTTCAATGTAGCAGAACAAGATAAATAACTTCAAACCCAGGATATTGATTAGAAATACATAACTAGATATGAAATACCTCAAATAAACATACATTAAATTTAGATGAACTATTTCACTATTTATAAAAAGGACCTGAACATTTTCAATACCAACGCACGATTAATACATGTGACTTCTAGAATTACAAACTTAGAATTCCCTTACTAAAAATGAAAATGCACAATCTCAATTAAAATGTCATTTGCCTGGCTATGATCATTAAGAAAGCCATCTGTCACACTTCATACTTCAGGACTGTTTATAATACTGATGATAATCACCTGTTCTATTGTGCGTATAGAGATGGCTCTTTCCCATTATTGTGCTCACAGAGTTGGCTCTCTTAGCATTTCCTGAACATCAATCTGAGACGAAAATATGAAAAAAATCCCCAGAGTACAAAAATTATAATGAAAATATCTGAAAAATTGGTCAGGACTATAAAGGTATTCTTTTCCAAATATAAGGCTTCAAAATCCACTACAACATAAACTTTAACACTCAGTTATAACGATGTCACTTTAAAACCAAACTTTCACTAACTTCTCAAATATAATCACAGTGAGAAATACGGTTCTCTCTTCAGGGATGTACCAATAGTATTGCTGCATACATCAGCATATTATGCAAATTATAAACTTTGAGAATTTATTCAAAACTAAATTTTAAAATTTCAGTAAACATATTATTATTTACCTATTTCCATATGCTTTTATAAAACAGGTTTTAAAACCATCATTATAAAGGGGTAATCAGCAAATGTCAACTATTAAAACCACAGCTAGCAAAAATAGAAAGCGGTATTATATTCTCTACAGTGTTTTTAAATAGTTTTGGAAAGAGAAATACAAAATAAAACTTACCTGAATGTATTTTCTTGTGCTTTGTTAGGTGGTCGTGGCGAATAAATGTCTTTCCACACTCATCACACTCATATCTCTTATCATCGTGATGTACTCTTAAGTGCAGCCTATAAAGATAAAAGAACACAGACTGCTCAAACTGCCGTGGAATGAAAATGCTTGATAATGATTTAGTGATAAAAAAGAATGAAAACAGGATGGATGCTGTAGAACTACATGCTCTGCATGTCGAACTTTCAGAGTCCTTCTGTCTTTTAAATAAGATCCTGAGGTTCCTATTCACTTCTCCCAAAAGGGCACTTCGAAATATGAATATCTCATATAATTCTAAATACTTCCTAAGTTCTTAGATATTAAATCTACTTCACAGACTCTTCCAAATATTTGTGGATGTTACTCATCTGAGTCTCAGGATATATTTAAGGAAGAAAAATTGTTCAAATGGATAAATATACAAAGATATACAAGATAATTACAGCTACTGATTGATAGTAACAACTGATGATTATATTACTCTGAAAAACTGATTCTATATACAAATTGATAGCTGGCAAATCATAATATTTTAAAAGACCTCAGGCTTATAAAAATAATATTTTAACTACTTCACACTAAAAAATGGTGCTTTAAATTCAAAGATAAACAATAAAACGCTTAGATTATTGAAATTTACCTAGTTTGAATCACTTTTACTCCTACAATGTTTTGTGTATACCAAAGTGAAATGAACAGTCTTTCCATTCAAGTTTCTAAAGTGTTGACTTTATATTAACTAAAACAGCCAAGTGACTAGACAAAATAATCTCTTTACAGTTAAAGAGATAATAAATGAAACTATGACTATTGAAGCCATAAGATTATAATTCTAGAATTAACTAAGAAAAATTAAAATCATACATATTTCTTAGTAAGTACCTACCTATTTAGGGAGACATTCAGAACCTTCCGTTACAGTCATTCAGACATAAGACAAACAAGTAACAATGCACAGAAGACCATCTAAAACTGAGAATTCCAGAATCCTTAATGTTATTTCCATACTAAATATATTCTTCTACAATGAAGGATGAAGAAATAAAAAAAAAAACTTGGAACACCAGAGTTTTAATACTATTTTCACCCAAAGACAAAATAATTAATTTAATATTTAAGTAATGAACATTTAGTAAAGACTCTAGTAAAGTTGATAATGAGGAAATATTCAATGCTTTACACAGAGAATAGAAATAAGTAAAGAAAAATCAGTAAAGTGTTTTCCCAGATGCATATAATGAGTCTAAGAAAGGATTTAATTAAACAAAGCACTTATAATAAAATAGAATTGAAGAGACATTGTAATTTTATCTCATTTAATATATGGGAAGATAACTTACCTGTATGAGCTTCCATGACGAAAACTTTGCCCACAGATACTACAAAGATGAGGTTTTTCTCCACTATGTATTCTTAAATGTTCTTTCAAGGTCGTCCTATGTTTAAAAATTAAAAACCACATATAATATATATATATATTCCAGAGTTCTTAATCTTAAATTTTCTGATATAGATAACACACTATATTCCTTTTAATGCCACTATACATACTAAATGCAGAGTTCGAACTCAGAACAGGACTACAGTTTAACCATTCCTTCAGCAAGCACTTTGCTAGAACACCTGTAGTTCTTTTAAAATTTTCTACACACCTAAAGCACTGAATCAGGATGGACAAAGTTATTTAGGGAGAGTAGTAATAAAAGGAAGTGTTCCTGACTTCTGGTGGCTTTTCCAACCGTTTTGGTTTGGTTTTCATGTCAATCTCCTATCAGGTGACTTGGAAAGGTAGCACATGAGCCAAAGCCCTGCCAGCAGATGGTGCTCATCTACAAGAACCACCAGGCCTGACACGTGTTGTGTAAGTCAGGAGAGGATAGCATTCCCAGCTAAGTGCGGGAAAACTACTAAGTAAACAGAGAAATGTTATCTTCGTTTTGTTCTGTTTTTCCTTCTTGGCTCATTCGATTTTGTTTTAATATAATGGGAAAAATAAATTCATAACCCACCTAATAAATTTATAATTTTCTAACCTATAGATTTTATATTAAGTGGCATAATGATTTTCCAACTCTCCTACCACATTCATAATTTATATTATGAAATTAGCATTTCTAATTTTAAGTTGAAGACCATAAAGCTTAAAAACACTGAAGGTTTTAATTTTTGCATAGTGTTTCACAATGTAATCCGAGTTGATGACAAACATAAGCATCCTGCTTTGCCTTCCTAGTAATGGGATTACAGACATGTGTCACTAAACTTGGCCTTAAAAATATATAAAACTTACACCTGTTTTTCAAGAACAGCATTAAACATATGTTCAGGTTAGGAACTGAAACATTACCATAGTGTCAGGTCCCTCACTTACCCTATTCCCCTTTCTCTCCTTAGAAATAACCACTCATATTTACCACGCACACCCTAATATACAAGATAGCACATGGCTTTGAAAATCTGAGTTGTGAGCACAGTCCTAACGACATTGGGACTACAGTTAGCTCACTAAAGGGTCCAAAAGGCAGTACAAACAAGGTCTGTGGATGGAAACCATCTGCAGATTTTCCAAGAGTTCACAAGGCCACCCTGACAGGCCAGCAAAAGTGACAAACAGGATGTAGCAAACCAATCATTTGAACCTGCAAACCCTGGCTTCTGTGATGTCTTTACCATTTACGTTTTAAACTAAAGTATAATCAGAGTACTTTGTGTTCTGAGTTATCTACCTCCTATAACACTTATTAATAATTTATAACACATGAAAGTGCTTCAACATTTCTGAGTGTGCAGATAACTTTACCTTTCTCGTACTGACTTCCCACAAATGAAGCAAGTCCATTTTCTCTTTCCACCATGAGTACATTCTATATGGCGTTTCAAATTTCCAGTGTCATTGAATTGACGACCACATATATCACATGGAAAGGGACCTAAAAAAAAAGGCATGTATTTGAAGTTTAAAGATAGAGGTAGATACTATGCTAAATTCAATAGAGCTAACACAAATTTGTTGCTACCACCAAAATGAACTCAAAATAGCTACCAACCTAAATAGAAAAAAATAGAAAATTATAAAACTTACACAAATAATATAGGCAAAAGTCTAAGTGATACTGGGTTTGACAATGTTTAGAATGACACTCTTGAAAGTTGAGTTTTGTTCTATGGCAGAACCTTGTCAAGGCAATGAGTGGCAAGCCATATTTGGAAAGAATAACTAATAAAGTAGCATAACACAAAATACAAAAAGCATTCTAAAGGGACTGAAGAGACAGCTAGGTGGTTAAGAGCACATACTGCTCTTCCAAAGGATCCACTGGGTTCCCAACAGGCATGTTGGATAGTTTACAACCACTTGTAAATTCAACACCCCACCCTCTTATGGGCACACACAATATGAAAACACAAACACAAATAAAATAATAAAAATAAATTCTTAAAAAATAAAATATTTTCAAGTCAGAAAGATACAAGAACGCACACACAAACACAATTAAAATAATAAAATTAAGCCTTTAAAAATATAAAAGAATTTCCAAGCCAGAGAGATGGTTCAGCAGGTAAAGGTGTTTGCCACTAAACTTGATAACCTGAGTTCCATCCCTGAGAACCACATGGTGGAAAGAGAAACCAACTCCTACAAGTTGCCCCAATACCTCATCATAGACATACACTGTGACATGTGACATGCACACGAAAATACCTAAGTACTTTTTAAAAGAAGTCTCAAAACTCAACAATAAAAAACAAAACAGCCACACTAAAACATAAGAGTTAAAGACTTAACACAGATCAGCAAAGACAAATAACAAACACGTGAACAGATGTTCAACATCACATCTCCAGTAAAATGTAAATGAAGCACTAACATAGTAAGCAATTATTATGGTGGCTGAAACACAAAATTCTGAGAATACTAAATATTAAATGCTAAAGTAACAGGAGTTCTAATGCAGTTGGCATAATCATTTTGGAAGACAAGATGGCAATTTTTTTTTCTGAAATTTTAATGAACAAATTTATTTGAAGAAAACTGAATTAAGGACATGCTAAGCTTATTAAAAGATGGCAATTTCTAACAAACAATGTATTCTAAAAATCCAACAGACTTTTTCTTCATGTTCTTAGGTTTTTAGCCAAGCAAACTGAAAATTTATATACACAACAAGACTTGTAAACAGATAACTATAGTCATTTTATAATCAATCAACAAAACTTGGGACATTCATTGCTTTTTAAAATGTACCATGTGGTGGGGATGCTATGTGTGTACAGAGGCTGATACCATGAAGTGGGATGCTGATGTGCGATAACCCTTTATATACAGAGGCTGGTAATACAATAACTACCTTCATCTCCTCAATGTTGTCATTTACTTAAAACTACTCTTTTAAAAGAGACTTTTAAGATCATAATATAATTACTTTATTTCCCCCTTCTCTTTACAATCTCCAAACAATAGAGATTTTTTTTAAGGAAAAAGTACAGTTTAACAGTGGTAAACTCTTCTAGATTCAGATAATCAGAAACGAGATGACTGCTTTACAAAAACACAACTTACCCAGATGGAACTTCTCCTGATGCTTTAACCGTGCAAATCGGGATTTGAAATGCTCTTCACAATAGGTACATTTAAAAGGTTTATCTTGTGAATGCAGAATCATGTGTTCCTCCAAGTGTGGTCTTCGAGTAAAAGATTTCTTACAAATCTAAATGAAGAGTATATATAAAATGTAGTTAGCTTAATTTGAGCCTGAATTAAAATACAAAGGTCATAATAAAGATAAAACATACAAGTTCAAGTAAAAATAAACATCTTCCAACAGAAAACTTACCAAAGTATTATCAATCTTCTGACTATGCTAAAAAGGGGGTAAGAGATAAGAAACACTAGAAGAATTATAGTTCAGAATTGTTAAATTAACCCTAAAGTTAAATGAACCTCCAATCATTCTATGGTTAACATGACTACAACATACTCTTAGTATCTTAATTCTATATAGCAATTTCTTTAAAAAAAAAGATTTATTTTTAATTTATTCATGTCAGTGTTTTGCACACATATGTGTATGTGCATCACATGCATGTCTGATGCATGTGGAGATCAGAAGAAGGTGTTGCCCTGGAGCTGATATATGGATGGTTTTCAGTGGGAACAGAATCTAGGTCCTTTGCAAGAACAGCCAGTGTTCTTTAAACAGGTGAGCTACCTCTCCATCCATGAATATCAATTTTTTTAATCCACAAAATAAAACCAAATTTATATCAGGAATAAAAAGATTTCTTTATCATTATTACCATATATTTAATTAGGATTATCAATAATTATATCACAGAAAACCCTCAACTTTTATTTCAGTTTTCAGAAATATGAAAACACTGTATATAAAAATATGTTATATGGTCAAATGGTGATGATGCATGCCTTTAATCCCAGGACTCGGGAGGCAGAGGCAGGAGGTCCTCTGTGTAAGGCCAGTCTGGTCTACAGAGTGAGTTTCAGGGCAGCCAGGTCTACACAAAGAAACCCTATCTTGAAAAATAAACAAACAAATAAACAAACAGTTATCTAAATCAGGGATTTAAAAAGAATGAAGCAGCTGTAGCAACAAATAGCAGTACCAACTAGGCACAATTCCAAGATTATTTTATTTAATGCTCAAAAAATGCTACAGAGCAGACATAACTATCAATATCATTTTTAGAGTTGAGGATGATAAAACTTTAAAGTAAAGAATACATTATCTTGTGTAGAGTCAAAAAATTAACTTCAGTGTTCTGAAACTGCAACCACAGAAGGAACAATTCTGGAAGTGTGTGAGATAGATATATACACATATACACATACAGACAGATAGATATGTTAATCTTTAGATTAGCAATGTAAATGACAAGCAATATTAAACATTAAACTATATACAACTAAATACTACAAAAAAAAATCCTTAGGGGCATGACAGATTAAACAGATTTCTTTTGCTACTACTCCCACTGAATTCTTCTCCCATCCACTTTGTTCTAGAACTGACCATTTAACCAAGTGGTAGAAGTTATGATCTGGGACCTCTGAGGCCTTGACTAGGCTTCTTGGCATGCACATGTATGCACACGTATGCACACAGAAACACACATCACCCATCTGTCTGTCTCTATCGGTATGTCTGCTCTCTGTCTCTCATGTCTCTCTCTCTGAACCTAGCTACTATACTAGAAGGGTAGAGGAAGCCCAAGCAGCTTCAAGAAGAGCAAGAAGGGAATCTCTTGTTCCTTGATCCATCCTTACTAACCCCAGTCATCAGGCATCACCAAGTTGACCGCTATATGAGTAAGTCACTGTAAGTGCCCCAAAACCAGAAAAGATCATCCAGTACTTTATAACAACCCAGTTACTTTGATTAACATAGCACAGAATCAAAGAAATACCTAGCAAAGCCCTGTCTTCAGTTTGGATTCCTGACCCACAAAAAGATGAGAAACAGTAAAAAGCAGTTTAAGAACCCTTGAACTTCAACATGGTTTGTTATACAGCAAAAGACAACCAAAAATAGAGGGTTTAATTTTAACATCTATATTCTGCCATTGTAATGTTAGAGATCATTAGACACAACTCTCAATACAAAGCATAGTGATTTTGCTAATTGTATGCAGGGACAAGATCAGGGAATAAAAACCAAACCAAACCAATTCTGAGGCCTACTGTCTGGAAACTACGTTTGCAGGAGAAAAAAAAAAAATTCAAATAACTTGATTTAAAAAATTCTAAAAGTAAGATAAGTTCCATTACTTTAAACCCAATTACCTTTGTTTCCCAAAAGACAACATTACATTTGCTTTGATTTTCTAATAGAAATTACAAATTCTTACTTCACATTTCCAACTTTCACTTTTAGTCTTCTTGATGGAAATAAACTCTTGTGCATTTTCAGGATGAAATCTATCAAAAAGAGAAAATATTAGGAAAATATGCTAATTAAACCTATATTTCATATGAATCTGTCAACAGTAATCTCAAGAATCAGATACTAGCCCAGTGTGATACATGCCTTCTGTAACCTTACACTCAGGAAGCTGAGGCAGGCGGAGCTAGTACTGGTGGCCAGCCTAGGCTACAAATCAAAACTCTGCTTCAAAACACAAAGAATGAGGTGTGATTTTTTTCATTTTTGGTGTTTTTATTACTGGGTCTCATTCTATAGCCCAAACTGGTCTTAAACTTACAGCAATCTATCGGCCTCCACCCCACAGGTGCTGGGATTACAGTCATCAATAACCTTACCTACCTTAGATCTCGATTTTTCTTATAATCACAGGTACATTAAGTAAGAATATAGGTTACACCATTTTATATGTAACTTATATATCTAAGTTACAAAGAAATTAAGAAAAGTATATGTAAATGTATTCTTAAAATCTGCATGTGTGCTGACTACAGTTTTTAGAGTTAATATTCAGCACTGTATGACTCACAAACTTTTCCACACTAACGTGAATGTGAAAAATAAATTTCCTAAGCGTTTCAACACCTCATATTTCTGAAGACTTGTCAAAACCAAATTTAAAAAAAAAAAGAAGAAGAAGAATCAAACTGCATTATAAACTGTACATTAGAGGCCATATTCTTGTTGCACGGCCAAAAGGCTTCAACTGAACAATAGAACAAACTATGAACTATATCAACAAACTAACCCTGGCTGTTGCTTTGTTGATTTGTAAACTCTACAAAACCATAAAGCAGTAACAGCACTGGAAATAAGCACCTTGTAGATATTTCCAGTGTACTTTTGTCTACATTAGAAGGCACAATGACATACACAATGGAAGCAAGACCATACTTGCCTCTTGACGTGCTTGGCTAGTGTCTTCTTGCTCGCATGAAGCTTATTACAGTAAGGGCACTTGTGCTCCTTCTTGTGAAACTCTACTTCATTACTGTGCTTCTTTCTGTGAACAGTTAAGTTAGACTTTGTCGAATAACGCTGGTGACAAATATCACACTCAAAAGGCTTCTCACCTGTGTGCACACGGGTATGACTCTCGTATTTCCCTACAATGAAGAAGAAAATTAAGTTTAACATATCTACTGTGCTGTGACTGAAATTTCAGAGTGGAATAAAGACACACAGTTTAATAATATATACACCCAAATTCATATAAGAAACTAAAAAGAAAAATATTTACCTAAATTTCTAACTCAAATGAACCTCAAGACTAAGTGCTTCAAGCTTACTGCTTAAAGCTTAAGTAATAAAACATTTACTCATTCATGTATTTTAAAAATCTTAATGCTCCAGGTTGTGGTGGTGCATGACTTTAATCCCAGCACTCAAGAGGGAAAGACAAGCAAATCTCAGAATTCAAGGGCAGCCTGGTCTACAAAGTGAGTTCCAGGGCAGCCAGGGCTATACAGAAAAATCCTGTTTTGAAAAAATAATAATAATAAAATAGATCTTAATGTCTGAAATTTTCCTGAAAAAGTGTTGACAATTTCTGATTATTGAATGTACTTTTTAAATGTAAAATTAACATTTAGAAAAATATCTACTCATTTAACATTTATTATATCCACAATTTACATTTCCTATGCACACCCACAAACTCAGTGTTCAGAATTGGTAGATCTTATTCAAATATTACAAAAAATGTTTACTTATTTTTCATTTCACAAGAGGCATTCTAGAAAGAATGCAACAAAGCTATAAGAGTTAACAAATAATTAACAATACAACCCATTTATATAAGAACTCCTTAAGAAACAAGAAAATAAAGTAAGGCTGTGTAAATTAAATGCTAAGTCCAGCACATGCAGGTAAAATCTGAGCAAGCAAGAAAAGATGAACAGGCATAAAAAGCAACCAGTCATACATGTGGAACACGTGCCTAAGATCTTCATCCAATCAGAATGGACAATACAGGTATCTTAATAGAAATAACCAAGAAGCTGTAACACAGACTGCTCAACAAGAAAAGTACAGTGAAAAAGAAAGCTATGCATACAACTGATTTAATTTGTTTCCATTCTTATTTATCATATGTAAATTCTTTATATCATTATGTAAAACATAAATGTCTGAGACAAAAAAGAGCATCACAGGTAAATACAGGTCACGTTGGATCTTTGTACCAAAACACAAATCCTGTCTCCTTAAATTGTAGAATGTATAACTTGGTCTCTGCTTCAGCTCTTCCTCATCCAAACAACAAAATATGCATAAAATATTCTGCAAAATAGACTGTATCCTCTTTTTACATACATTTGTCCAGAAAACAAAGTCTGTTATCCGCCACCTCCTTAACTGTGTCCTAATTAAACTAAAATTTCAGCCTCTCAGGACTTGAACTAGTAAAACTTTATGGAATTGTATATAATAAATGAATTAATATACAAATGACACTTAAAGCATTCGAGTACCTAGTAAACACTAATAAATGTCATTCATTATTGCCATCAGCGTCTTTAGTACAGAGTCTCAGAACTGGAAACAGTATCAACTCTCTAATGCACAAATTTCAGTTTTGGTTCCAAATGGAAAAAAAATATAAGGTAAAAGAAAAATTTTAGACCAGTTGCTTACTTTCTATAAACATATTACAGTTGTAAAGATCTTATATTAGTATTTAGCATTTTTATTACATTTGCAATCAAGACTTTTTCTACTTGGAATAAAATTTAAGCTATATACTGAATATTAAAATCATAGAATAGACAGTTAATTTTTATAAATTAACTATTAAACCTCACCTTAGATCAGTAGTCTTAAAAAGATTAATAGAAAAAAATTTAAACATAAATAGCTCAAAGTACTTGTGTGTGTACGCATACATACCTACATACATGCATGCATACGTGTGTGAGTGTGTGTGTGTATATGTGTGTGTACACGTGAGTGCGTGTGTTTGTGGGGACTGCCCATGCACATAGAGCCAGAGACCAGAGCAAATCACTGGGTGTTCTCTTTAAGGCCCTTCACCCTGCAGTCTTGAGACAGGTCACTCAATGTATAGTAAGCTTGCCCATCAGCTTACCTTCTAGCCAACCAATTCCAGGAATCCACCTGTCTCCACTTCTCAATCTGAGGCAAATAGGCACATGCAGCCCTTCTCAACTTTTTATGTGGGACTCAACTGAGGTCCTCAGGGCTTCATATCTGTAGAGCTACTTCCCCAACCCCCTAACATAAAGGTTTTAAAAAAATCTTTTGAAGTAAATATAGTAAATGTGATTTTTTTAACTTGCAAGATTTTTATAATAAAATTTAAATAATTTACAAAAGAAAAATAATAAAATAAATATAATAATGCCAAGAAACTGAGATAAATTCCTATAGCATAATGAATCACAGAAATGAAAAACCTTAAGTTACAAACTCAAAAGTTTATGCACATCTGTATTGCACAGCCCATTGTCTCCAGGAACTTGAAATTCTGAACAACTACAGACAAGCTTCAGGGAAAGCTTGACTCGGAAGATCCAAGTGCGTCTCCAGAGAGTTATGAAGAAAACAAAGTGTAAGCCCCCAATAAATCTTATGCTTAAAGCAACTGGCAGGAGTGTGGGGTGTGAAAGGGACACTCTTCAGTAGAAACAATATCTACAATCTACATTCATTTCTTCATTTCTGTGTGAAGAGGTTCCCATATCAATGTATAAAATCAGCATGTTCTCTTCAAAATTAACAGTCTATTTAAAAAATAAAAAACAGCATATAGTGAAAAAATGTGCAGTCATCTCCTGAAGCAAATCTCAATATGAATTATCTCAAAGTTAGAATCGCAAACCAAAGACGTTTTCATATGAATAAATTTATCTTGATGTATTTCAAAATTTACTCCCTCATATGGCTCAGGTTATTATTTTCAATTTTACATGCAGTTTTTGTGAGAATCACCACTGAATGGCCCTACCATATTTCATATCAGATACTGCTACTCTCAAGTCCACTTACTCATACAACACACCTTAAAGAGCACATAAAGTATTCTGCAGAGAATTACACCATTGTCACAATTCACTAAGAACCAAGGAGGGTCCTACCCCAACAGACCATATAAACTCATGTGTAAACTGGGAGAGGGGACACAAAATGTTTTTTGTCTTGAGAGGAGACTGTCATTTACTTCAAGCAAAGATTTTCGTTCTGTGTAGGAAACAAAAAAAGTATAAATTATCCAAATTTTCTCTCTTATCCCATCTGTCATCTCTTTATTTCGCTTTTTACCCAGTAGGTTTTTGGTATAAGGGGCAGCAAGGTCAAAGGACTCTTATTTACATGAGAATTGGATGAGAAATGGGCAGCTGGTAGTCTCTGGAAAGACTTAACTAGATCAAGAGTGTTACTTGCAGCACCAGAAAGAATAAAAGATCCAAATAATGGAAAAGAATATTTTGGTCATGTACTGTACAGCTAATGGTTCCAGCAGAAATCTCAGACTGTATCTCTTTAAGGCAGCCAGACAAGGAGATGATAAAGAAGTCTAATAGGGTCCGTCCAAGCCAATGGAAATCCAGATAACACCCTTTAAACTTATTTCAAGCCTGGAAGTGCTTGCTGGCAAATGTTAATGACCTGAAATATGCAAAGCACACTAACCAAGCACAAAGAATATGAGTTTCCGCCTCAATTTAGTTACACTAACAAAATGATAATCAAAAATTTGAGAAGGACTTTTTAAAATCTTGTAAAAGGAATAAGCATGAGATGAGAAAAATGACAGAAATACAGTTATAAAGTGGTTTTACAATTAGCAGACAAACCATTTACAGTGTATCTTCTAACTCTCTTCATTCTGTCACCAATTGCTCTGAGGACATTCACCAGAAACACAGCTCTACCCTCTTCCCACTGTTCACTGCCAGTGTCACTCAACTTCCCGATTCAAGCAGCACTATGCTTCCGCCCCTTTGTTATATGGTCCTTCTTGCCTCTTTGGTTTTCTCATTTCCTTGCCCAATTTCCTTCTTCACACTGAAGACAGTATGATCTGGCTATAACTCATTGGCTGTCGTTCTCTCTTTTTAAGCTTCTCCTCCCCAGTAGTTTCATCAGGTAAAACACACTCCTCTGTAGCACTGAAGCCATCCCAAAGCTGGCTCTCTTTACTTGCCTAGCCTACTCTTAGTGCCTGTCATTTTTTCTATGCTTCTTGAGTTATCTGAAAGACAACCACACCTTAGCAATTTCTAGAACATACCATACCTCGGTACCTTTACACACTGACCCTTCTATCTTGTAAATGTCACCCTATTCTGTAAGTTTCAGGCTCAATATTACTAGTTCCGAGAAGCCACCCATCATTTCCCGGGTCCTCCTGATAACATTAACTTTATTATACTATGATAATTTTTGCATGTCCTCAGATACTTGTGGGCAGAGAATATATCACTCCCAATCTGTTTCAGGGCTCGGAAGGCGTCCAATGCTAAATTAATAAAGACCAGGAACAGCTAAGATTCTTGCACAGCTGCACTCTGTGTGGTACTTAAGTGGTTCTGCAGAACCATCCCATTTCATTCTCACCGTAATCATTCATATTATTAACAACACATCTGCACCAGCTCATAACACTAATGAAGGGGGGAAATTCCACAGGTTAAACAACTCAAACAAGGCCTAGATTTAAAAACCTAGCAGTATGACCCTTCACCAGCTCAAGCTTTTGAATCAGCATGTAGATTTTTAAACAAGTACCAGATAGACGTAGAGACTGAGATACTTGGCCATAGAAGAATGAGTGAACACTAAGCAAGCCCAAGGTAGTCAAGCAACAGAAAGGAAAGACTGTAATGTAAAACTCATTCTGAAAAGTATGTTAGAAATAACCCTACATGGTAATCCACTGATTCTCGTAATATATGGAATGACTTTGGTAAAAGACATTTTGCAAACTTTTTGGGTTTTCAGCTTCAATCTTAGGCAGTGTTTTCTGAGTTTATGTGCATAAAACTCTAGTTTCCTGAGGACATTAAGAAGAGCACTCATATGATACCTTATTTATAAAGCGACTTGAAGAAAAGTTAGGTTAAGCAAAATTAACAGACATATTTTCTAGTACTATTACAGAATTACATCAAATTAAAAGAGACTGTGTATTAAGTTTCCAAAACCTAGTGGAACTGAAAGTCCTCAGACTGTTCAAAGGAACAGGTTGAGACCCACAAGCTGGACCTATAATGCCCGTAGTGAACTGACCCTTGCTCACTGATTTCCAAGTCAAATTAGGCTAATTAAAGTTTGAAGAATACCATAAGCAGGGAGTACAAAGTCTAAGGAAAAATAAAACATTCTAAGATAAAATGTTACCAGGTACCTCAGCTCCACAAAGCTGCTCTCTGTCCATACTCACATTGATAGACCTACAGTGACATTTACTGCCAGGACTAACAATTTTCTTGTACACATAAGCTCTTCCAACTGACTAAGCTGTTCAGTTATTTCTGTGTATGAAACAGAGTAAAATTATTAATGATCATTAAACTGAACTGAGAAGAGTATCCTGAGAAATACATTCAAAAAAATACTGCAAAAGCAATAAAGAAAAGTTCTCACTGTAAAACAAGTCTATATGCTAACCTATTTTGATAGCAAATGATTACAAATACCTTATAAACTAAATTTTGATCTATGCAAACAGCATACATAACCTAGGACAAAACAGTTATGTATGGAAAGAAACTGCATGGTTTCTTTTACAAGATCAGATTACACTACCTAACCTGCATTAATCATTTTATGTGCAGAATGTACCTAACAATTTTATAACCGAGGGACATGTAACTCAAAACTAGCACTTCTAAGCTGAAACTGGTGGTCAAAAGCTATATACAATAACTGCTACTTTTCTGGAGTCTTTCTCCCAAATACAGAACCTACAACCTGTAGAGACACCATGACAAAAACGGGAAAGAGTAAATACCAGATTTCTGCTACACAACCAATTTAAATTAACAACATAAACGATGTGCTGAAAATCAGAGCATCTTCCGTACTACAGAACTCTTCGCACAAGTCCCTTTCAAAGTTTAGATTTTAATGATTACCTCTCAGACAGTCACAGAGTATAAGTTTAGAGCGAGGAAGCAGGCTCTCCTTACCTATTCGGTCAAATGTCTTATCACATTTGGGGCACTGCAGGATTTTCTTATTACTGTTCTGAATGACTACCGGAGCTAACCCTTCGTGGATGCTCCCTGCAGAATCGCCAGCCTCGGGTTCCTCTTCGGCGACATCCTTATCACTCTGCTCGGTGTCAGAGTCCTCATCTGACATTTCCTCCTCTAGCTCGTCGTCCTCAGCATTGTACTCACTTCCAGGATCCTCAGAATCATTCCTATCTGACTTCTCCTTGTCATAACTTTCTTGATTCAAATTGTCTGACCCACCCCCACTCTCCTGTTCATCGTCACTAGTGTCCTCAAACTTAACAGGACACTTCCTATTCCTTTTTGACCTTCGTGCAGAAAAACTTCTCTCCAGCATTTTTAACCCATGTTTTTTCCCCAGTAACAGGGACCTGTGAGTTTTAGCTAAATGATTCTCTAAGGACTTTTTATAGCAGAAATGTCTACTACAAAATTTGCACTGATGATTACTTGATAGTCTTCCAGTTAATTCATTTAGTGTTTCATCGGGAGATGACTTCTCAGTCAGTTCTGCCTGAAAAGTAGCAACGTTTTCATTATTGAGCAGCTTCACTGCATCGATAATGTCCAGAAATTTTGCGGCCTCTAAAACAAGAGGTATTTCATATTTGTACACAAAAAATTCTGACGTGTAAAGAAACTCAAGCAAATGCTGAAAAACCGAATGTGTTACGTGATCCAGGGTGACGACATCAGTGCTTGGGTTTTTGCTCAAACACGCATGAAAATAACTACTACCGACTGCAACTACCACTTTATGAGCACTAAATTCTTTTCCTTCTACTATGATAAGTAAGTCGCAGAAAGACGGCTGCTTCTGCCTGTCATCGTTCAAATACTTCAGCAAATTCTTATTATACTGCAAAGAACTCAAAAGCTTTCTCTGATCTGGAGAGGGGGGAAGGTCTTGGTAACACTGAAGAGCCTCAGAAGTTGGTCTTTCTGTAGACTGAGTGTAGGTCACTTGGCCGCACTCCACAGCACCATTTTCTTCTGAAGAATCTTTGTGATAGCCCAGATGGATCTTCTCGTCAAGATTTGAAGTAACCTTTCTCCTTTTCTTCATTGCAGTACTGCAATTTTTGAACAGGAAACTTCATAAGTGACTTACGAGGTTTTTGAAACAAAACTAGATTGTCTTGAACAACAGCTTCTGAAGGGGCGTGCCCCACCGTTTCATGGTCTGCAAAACAGTGAGAATCACGTAAGAACTCCACAGCAAAGCAATCTTAAATAAGCAAAGGTGCTGTCGATTAATCTTTTCTAAATTGTAACTTAATCACAAAGTCAACGTTACATTCACCAGCAGCTAAGATTTTGAGGGCGGAGAAGGTGGAACGCTGGGTTTAGCGAAGACAACCAACAAAAGAATAGTGTGAAGTGAAGGCACAGCACACCTTCCAGGCCTGATTCACGACTAAGGTGGAAAGAAGAGAACAGAGAGAGGGCGATCCCGCCGAAGCTGCGGACCATGCAGACACGACGGGGCTGCAGTCCCGGTCTGGGTGCTGGGACAGTGACAATAAGACCAGCGCGGCCACGGAAAGCAAGTCTCCATTAGCATGCTTTCCCCGGGCGAGCGCGGCACAGTTCCTCAGCGACAGACCTTCCGAAAGCCACAGCGCAGAACTGTGCGGCCCAAGGAGGGGCGCCGGGAGCAGGGTCGGCACGGGCGACCACTGCAAGCCGCGGAGCCTGCCCAGGCCCGGGTCGACGGCGCCGCGCTCGCCCGTGACCCTTCCCTCCCAGGCTGTCCGGGCGAGCGCCCCACAGGCCCAT